CATCCAAATATCCAAATAAATGTCCAAATATCCAAATATCCAAACATCCCAACATCCAAACATCCCAACATCCAAACATCCCAACATCCAAACATCCCAATATCCCAACATCCAAACATCCCAATATCCCAACATCCCAATATCCAAACATCCCAATATCCCAATATTCCAATATCCAAACATCCAAATATCCAAACATCCAAACATCCCAATATCCAAATATCCAAATGTCCAAACATCCAAATAAATATTCAAACATCCAAATATCCAAATAAATGTCCAAATATCCAAATATCCAAATAAATGTCCAAACATACAAATAAATATCCAAACACCCAAATAAATATCCAAATATCTAAATATCCAAATAAATATCCAAATACCCGGGCTCGCTGCGCTCCGCTGCCTCCCCGCTCCGAAATCCTTGTTTAGACAAACGTTCAGGCCGGGGGGAGTGTGGCAGGCCGGGTCCTGCCCCGCGCGGAGGGCAGATAATGTCACCTGCAGTGTCAACACGCAGCGGTGACCGGGCTGGCACCGCCCTGCCCGCCATAAAGTCACCTCTGGGGCGGCGCCCGGCACGCCGGGCAGGGAGCAGGGGACACGGGGACACGGGGGACACACGGGACACGGGGGACACACGGGACACGGGGACACACGTGTGCGCGGGGTCTGTGCAGCAAACCCGCGTGGGCTGGAGCTGCAGCCCCTGCCAGGGCACAGGGACACTTTGGGGACACTGCGGCACAGGGACATTTCAGGAGTCCTGTGGGGACATTGCAGGGGTCCTGTCGGGACATTGTGGGGGTCCTGTGGGGACATTTCAGGGTTCCTGCGGCACAGGGACATTCACGGGGACATTTCGGGGCCCTGTCCTGACCCGTGTCCCGCAGGAGGTGCAGCCCCTGCCAGGGCACGGGAACACTGCGGGGTCCTGCGGGGACATTTCAGGGTCCTGTGACACAGGGACATTCACGGGGACATTTCGGGGTCCTGCAGGGACATTTCAGGAGTCCTGTGGCACAGGGACATTTCGGGGGTCCTGTGGGGACATTTCAGGGCTCCTGCGGCACAGGGACATTCACGGGGACATTTCGGGGCCCTGTCCTGACCCGTGTCCCGCAGGAGGCCGGGGGTGGCTGTGCGGGTGGTCAGACCCTTCCAGAAGTCCCTGCCCTCATCCTGAGGGATTGTCCCTCCCTTGTGCCCCTCCCGGGGGTCTGGGGGGGCTGTGGACACCCCCGGGGGTGGCAGTGGCAGGGAGGGCCAGCGGGAGGATGGAAGGGAAGGGAAGGGGAAGGGAAGGGGAAGGGAAGGGAAGGGAAGGGAACGGGAAGGGGAAGGGGAAGGGGAAGGGCAGCTGGGACGGTTTCCCCGAAAGGCCGCTGGGGACAGGATGGTGTCACCGAGTGTCACAACACCCCCGTGCCCAGAAGCTGAGGCCGAGGTTTCTCCCGGAACATCTCCAGCTTCCCTTCCCAGCTGTGCCACCTCACAGGGCACCGGGAAGGGGACAGAGCCACCCTGGGGCTGTGACACCCCCAGGGAGGGAGTGCCACAATGTCCCCAAACCCCAGCCCTCCGCGGGGACACACCCCTGGGGAGCTGCTCTTTGTGAGGTGACACTGAGCGCCACCAAATGTCCCCAAAGCCTTCATCCTCATCCTCATCCTCGTCCCCACGGCTGCCCACAGCCCGGCCAGCTGGGCCAGGAGGCAGCAGCTGCTCCTGAGATCCCTCAGAAACAGGAAAACCAACTCAGAAAAAGCAAAAGAAGTTCTGGGAAAAGATCACGGCTTTCTAATTGGGATGTGCAAATATCAATTTAAGCAGACCTTAAATCAATATGAACCAGAACGTTTCCTTTCACCCCTAATCGTTCTTTTGATTTTTTTTCCCCCCAACCAGGTGAGTTTTAATAAGCTAAAATAAAACATCTCCTCTTTCAGCGCAGCCCCAGCACGAGGAATATCAATTAACAGAGCCATCCTCGGCCCGTGGAGCTCACCACAGCAGCGCTGGAGCTGCGGCTCGATGGGAATGGGAGGAAAATTACAACCTTTTCAGGGAAACCATTAAGTAAAAATCAGAATTTGTCCATAAGTACCGCAGGGGGAGGGGCACAGCCCAGCTAATGGCTTCTATTTTGAGCAATGAAGTGAATTTTCAGTGCAAAATCGCCGCTTTCTGTTCCTCTCCCAGCGGCCTCGCGTCCCCCGAGTGTGGCCCCGGAAAGTCCCTGGGACAGAGTCGGGCTCAGCCCCACCACGGGATCACCCCCTTTTCCACATTCCCAGGGAGGGCTGGACAGAATCCCCAGCCCTGGAATGCTTTGGGAGGGACCTCACAGCCCATCCAGTGCCACCGTGCCACGGCAGGGACAGCTCCACTGTGCCAGCTTCAGCCTGGCCTCGGGCACTGCCAGGGACCAGGGGCAGCCCCAGCTGCTCTGGGAATCCCAGCCCAGCCCGGAATTCCCGGTTCCCAGTTTCCCATCCATCCCTACCCCTGGCAGTGGCAGCCATTCCCTGTGTCCTGTCCCTCCATCCCTGTCCCAGTCCCTCTCCAGCTCTCCTGGAGCCCTCCAGGGGCTCTGAGCTCTCCCTGATCCTTCTCCTCTCCAGGGGAACATTCCCAGCTCTGCCAGCCCGGCTCCAGAGGGGCTCCAGCCCTGGAGCTGCTCCACGGCCTCCTCTGGAATTCTGCAGCAGCTCCAGGTCCCTCTGGGGCTGGGATCCAGCGGGGTCTCACCTGGGGCAGAGCGGGCACAACCCCCCATTCCTGCTGGGAATTTCTGGGGAGAAGGGCAGAGTGCGAGGAGGGCAGCACGGGGTCCCATTCCCTGCCCGAGGGAGGATTCCCGGGGCTGTTCCCTGTGCTTTGGGATCTCCTGGGCAGCGTGTGACACCGGGAGCTCGGCCACGTCCCTCCGCCAAGCCCCTGGCACCGGCTTTGGGATCTCCTGGGAGCCGCGGCAGCGTGTGACACCGGGAGCTCGGCCACGTCCCTCCGCCAAGCCCCTGGCACCCTCCGGGAGAGCTTTGCAGGAGCAATAAGGAGCACAGAGGTCTCCAGGCCGTCGATTTTTGTTGTTTCTCCAGCACTGGTGGCTCCAGGGGCTGCTCCTGCTCCTGGAGGGTCTCAGGGAGCTGTGCTCCCACGTTATCCCAGCTCCAGGAGCTGCCTGCCGGGGGGGTTTGCTCCACCATGGGGGTCCCGATGGGTCACTCGAGGGACACCCCAGGGGGACCCCAATGGCCATCCTGATGGACACCCCAATGGACACCCCAATGGCCATCCCAATGGATATCAGAAGGGATGGACACCCCAATGTCCATCCTGATGGGTGTTCCTGTGGATACCCCAAGGGATGGACACCAAATGGGCACCCAATGTCCATCCTGATGAATATCCCAAGGGATGGACACCCCAATGGACACCCAAAGTCCATCCCAAAGGATGCCCCAAGGGATGCACATCCACAGGGATGGACATTCCAAGGGATGGACACCCCAATGTCCATCCCGATGGGTGCTCTAATGGACATCCCAAGAGATGGACACCCCAATGGACACCCAACACCCATCCCGACGGGTGCCCCTGCGGATACCCCAATGGATGCCCACCATCACGCCGACACACCCCGCGCCCCCAGGGATGGACACCCCAATGGACACCCAAAGTCCATCCCAATGGATGCCCCAAGGGATGGACATCCCCAGGGATGGACATCCCAAGGGATGGACACCCCAATGGACACCCAAAGTCCATCCCAATGGATGCCCCAAGGGATGGACATCCCAATGGACACCCAACATCCATCCCGACGGGTGCTCCTGCGGATACCCCAATGAATGCCCACCATCACGCCGACACACCCCGCGCAGCACAGGGGATTCACAAAGAGCTGCTGCCTGCACAGAGGCAAACCCCCCGAAAAGCCGAAAGGCGGCGAAAGGAGGGAATGGGGCAGAACCAGAACCGCGCCCCGCTCCGCTCTCTCCGCGCTCCGCTCCGCGTTTTGCGGCGCTCCGGCCGCGCCCCACGTGGGGCAGGGGCGTGGCCGGGCGGCGGCAGCCAATGGGCAGCGCGGGGCGCTGGCAGCGCTCGTCACGTCACCGAGCGGAACGCGCCCAATTAGCGGCGGGCGGGGGGGGCCGGGGCTGCCCCATCCCGCACCCGGGGGTCAGCGGGGCGCTGCGCCCCCGCGCCGGCGGCGAGGGCCGGGCGGCCTTTCGGGGCGCTGTGCCCGCTGTCGGTTAGTTGCGCGGCGGCGTTTCGCTCGAGCCGAGGCGCGGCGGTGCCGCAGCGATCGCGGCGGCCCGCCCGGCTCGGCGGTGACAGATTGTTTGAGCTGGAGGAAGCGCCGGCCCGGGCTAATTACGCCGCCATGGCGGGCGGGGGCTGCGCGGCGGCGGCCCCGCGTGGCTTTGATTGACAGCGCCGCTCCTCCGGGCCAATCGCGTCGGGGCGCTGCCCCGCTCCGCCGCGGAGGGCGCGGGGTCCCCCGCGGGGGCGCGGCGGGAGGCCCTGACGTTAACGCCATTACCCGTGTTCCTCGTTAAAGCCCCTCGGGCGTGAGGGGGAGCAGCGCGGCCCTCACCGCACATCAAAGGGGCCGCGCGGCCGGCGGGGGAGGCTGGGCGGCCTTGCCGGTGCGGGGGGCTCGCACCGGGCGCCTTGCCGGTGCGGCACGGAGGCGCTGCGGTGCCGAGGCGCCTGTGTTTGTTGTACAGCCGAACCGGGCCGGGGTCACGGCAGCGCCGGGCCCGAGTCACGGCCGGGCCGGGGGCGCGCGGCGGGGCGGGGCCTGCGCGGGGCGGGGCCCGCGGTGGGCGTGGCCAGCGGCCTCCCCTCCGTCAGACACAAGCTGCCATTGTGACGTTCCGCCAGCGCCGCCCAATCATCGCCCTCCTCTGCCGTCCCCACGTGGGCGCGGCGGGCTGTGATTGGCTGCGGGCGGCGAGGCCGCCCGGGTTTTGTCCCCCGCCCGCCGCCCCGCTCCGCCCGGGCGCTGTGGCGGCACCGCGTGCTCGGGCGCCGCTGCCCCGCTCCGCGCCCGCTCCGCGATGGCTCCCGGAGTTACGGCGATCCCGGCTGGACGCAGCTGAACGGCCGCCCGCGGGCGGGGGGACCCGCTCGCACCTCGCATGTCCGCGGCGCCCGGGAAGTCGGATGTGTACGGCCTTCCTCCCCCTCCTCCTCTCCTCCATGGCCGTCGTGCTCCGGCGTTAGTTCCTGGCTTTGCTTCCCCTTCTCCCGGCCGCAGGAATACCGCGGGACCCTCCTCCCGCCGCCGCGTTGTTGTTGTTGTCGCTGTGGCTTTTTGATCTATTTTTTTCTTCCTATTTTTTTTTCCGGGGTGGGGGGGGGTGATTGATTTTTTTCCGCACGGACTTTCCTCTCGTCCCTTTGTTCAGTTCTCGGCCTCTCCGGGAGCGCTCCGAGGCCGGCGGGCAGCAGCGGCAGCTCCGCACGTCGCGATCGCCGTAGCGAGGCTCGGCGCGGCTGCTCCCAGTGACCGCGCCCCAGCCCGGCCATGTACCCCCAGGGCCGGCACCCGGTGAGTCCCGGCACCCCCGCTGCGCCCCCCCGGTGCTGCCCGCCCCCCGCTCCTCCCGGTAACCCCCGCCGCCGCTCCCCGCAGGCTCCGCACCAGCCGGGCCAACCGGGCTTCAAATTCACCGTGGCCGAGTCCTGCGACCGGATCAAGGACGAGTTCCAGTTCCTGCAGGCCCAGTACCACAGGTGAGCCCGGGGGCAGCCCCGGCCGCCCCCCGCCCCGAGCCCCCCCGGTTCCGCGGGGTCTCACCGTGCGCTCTCCCCCCGCAGCCTCAAAGTGGAGTATGACAAGCTGGCGAACGAGAAGACCGAAATGCAGCGCCATTACGTTATGGTGAGAGACTTTAATCAGATTTCGGATCAGCCTGCAAATGTCATTAGCTGCGAACGAACGGGGGGGGGACCGGGGGACCCCCCCGGCACGGGCACCGGCTGCCCGGGGACCCCCGGGGCGGGGGGGCGGCCGTGCCCGGCGCTGCCAGCCCCCGGCGCTGGAAGCGCCATCCCAAGTTTCCTGTTAACCCCTTTGGAGCGCTCCTGCGGCCGCGGGGGGGTCGGGGGGGGGCGACCCCGAGCTCGGGGGGACCCCCGGTGCGGGTGGGGGTCCCCCCCTGGCCTGCCCCGAGGCCACCCGGGAGCCATCGCAGCTCCTCCCCCCGCCTCCCGTTCATCCCTCCCGAGGGAAACGGGCACTTTTGTTGCCACAAAACGCTCTTTTTGAAGCTGAACGAGCGCGGCGGGCCCCCGGGTGGGCTGGTGGGGGTTCCGGTGGGTTTGGCAGGAGCCTGCAGCCCCTCTCCCCGCGCTCCCGGCGGCTCCCCCGGGCCCTGGGGGGAGCGAACCCGCCCCCCCGGTGAGAAGCTGGGTTTTTGGCCAGACTCCGGGCTGTACCTGTTCTGCCAGGGCTGAGCAGACGCCTGTCACCCAGCTCTGCGCCTCTTTGTTTTTCTAAGTAGCTTAGGAGGAGAAAACAGGAGTCAAAAGGAGTGTCCCCTCGTTAAGTGCCTGCCAGTTAAACCCATAAACATCTGCTTATTATAAGGTGTAATTTCCTTGGCTACCCGTGCTTTAAGCCCAGTTTTGCCCAGGATGCTTTTTGGTAATGACCTTATGCAAATACCTTCTGTGAACTGAATTCAAATTCTCCTTGGCTCTGGTGTTTAATTGAATTTATTCCTATTTTTTTCCCTCTCCTTCCCCAGTACTACGAAATGTCGTACGGTTTGAATATTGAAATGCACAAACAGGTGAGTAATTTCGAGGGGGGAAGTTGTGATTGATTGATCTCCTGTTGCCCTTTTCCTCCACCTGAGGTAAAATGGGCCCTGATTGCACTAAATAGGGAATAAGTGCTGGAGGCAGGGATGTGGCTCCAGGTGGGATCCCGCGGCCCGGCTGTTCGCTTGGCAGCCGCAGGTTGATGGCGCTCGGCGGGGTTATTTTGTCGATATTCGCGAGGAATTTCGGTTTTAGGCGGCGTGTTTATGCAAAGAGGTGAGAACAGCCTCGCCTCCCGTGCAGGGAGGTCAGTACCTGGAATAGCGCGTTCCCGAGGCTCGGAAAACACCGGTGGGGCTGGCCGGCCCCCGCTCGTGTTGTGGGCACAGCAGGGCTCTCGGGAAGGTCAGCCCTGCTCCCGGCCCTGCCCGAGCGTGAGACCGGGCCGGGAATTATCTCCGGGCTCACCGTGTGTTGCTCAATGGCACGGAGCTGTCTTTGCATCTGGGAAGTGAAGCAATGTTTGGGGCTGGTTGGGCTTTTGGTTTTGTTGGCTTTTTTTTTTTTTTTAACCCTCCCTTCCAGTCTTCTCTAATGTGTAACTTGCCTGAAGGAAAAAATAGAGAAGGCCCCAGCAGAATGTGGTGTGCTACCTTGATAAGATTATCGGTAAAGAGCCTAAAGGCTGCGCACATGATGGTAAAACTTAAAGGAATAAAGTTATTATTGAGATTAGACCTGATTATTTGTGCTGCTGCTGCTTACTGGTTTTAGAAGGAGTTCTAATTAAGAACTTAGGGCAGATAGAAGTTGACATCAACTTTGCCGCTCGCAAATCAGCCCCATTCAACTCCAGAGTGGTTCGGCTCAATAGCGGCATCGCCCTCCTCCTCCTCCTCCTCCTCGGAGGCTCGCAGGGCGCTGATGAGATGCAAAGCAGCGTCTCTGAATGCGCCTCTCTCTTCCTCCCCTCGCCTTTCTGCGCCGTAGTCACGGGGCAGCGAAAATAATTCCTGCTTAGTCTTCAGTTTTTTATAAATATCTCCTTCCACGCAGATCGTCCCGGCTCCAGCCCCGCTGTCCTTGCGCGGGGGCTGGGGAGCTCGGCTGGCTGTGTGCTGGGGTGCTGGGAACACCCCAAAATTCGGGATTCCGGGCTAGGCCCGGCCTCCTGCACGAGGGGATGGCGCTGGTGTGGCCAGAGGGACACGGAGCCCGCGGCCACCTCGGCAGCACCCGGGGTGACCTGGAGGGACGGAGTGACCCCAGGCCAGGCTCGGGGGGCACAGGGTCTCCTCTGCCCACCCTCCTCCTGCCTGGGTGCTGGATGGCTGTGCTTGGGGCTGGGAGATGCTGGAGTGATGGCCTGGGATGCTGGGCTGGTTCTGTCACTGGGGGATGCTGGAATGACACCCCAGGATGTTGAGTTGGTTCTGTGGTGGTTCTGTCACTGGGAGATGTCAGAATGACACCCCAGGGTCCTGGGTTGGTTCTGTCACTGGGAGATGCTGGAATGGTGACCTGGGATGTTGGGTTGGTTCTGTCACTGGGAGATGCTGGAATGGTGACCTGGGATGTTGGGTTGGTTCTGTCACTGGGATGTGCTGGAGTGACACCCCGGCTTGTTTCCCTCGCTGAAATGACACCCCGGTTGTTTCCCTGGCCGGGCAGTGCCGTTCCCAAGGCATTCCCGAGCGTTTCCCCCGGTCCCTGGGTGCATCCCGAGGTGCTGGGATGTGCTGGAGTGACACCCCGGTTGTTTCCCTCGCTGAGGGATGCTGGAATGACGCCCCGGTTGTTTCCCTGGCCGGGCAGTGCCGTTCCCAAGGCATTCCCGAGCGTTTCCCCCGGTCCCTGGGTGCATCCCGAGGTTTGGCAGCGCGGGATGAGCGGATGGAGCAGCCCCTGCTCCGTGTGCTGCGGGGGTCTCGGGGTGCCCGAGGAGCCTCAGGATTGCTCAGAATTCCCCTCTGGCTCATCCCCGCCCGTGCTGGTGGTGCCGGCAGCCCGGGGTGCCCGGCGAGGTCGCTGCTTTGCTGGGAGCTGTGCGGGCGATGCCAGCCGCATCCCGTGCCCGCCCGGGCTCTTCCCGCTGCCATCTGCGTGCCCTGCCCGCTGCCGGGACCTCGGGGAAGCTGGAGCTGCCTCCCTCTTTAGCTGACAGCACGGCAGCGAACAAAGCGGCTTCCAGGCGAAAATGGGGCGAGCGGGGAGCGCCCGGGGAGGGTTTTCCCCCCTCTCCGGGGCCGCAGCATCCCCCGAAAGGCATCCCTGGGCAGCATCCCCCGCCAGGCATCCCGCAAGGCATCCCGCTAATTGCGGCGTGGTCCTGCCGGCATCTGGCTGAGGGTGGCTGGTCCTGAACAAACAAGTTTATCAGCTGACCTGTTTAGCGGTTGACTTGTGTTTATCTGCACACAATCAAGTAGACTGAAGTGCTTGAATTATTCATGCAGTGTCCTGCCCTCCAGACTTGACTGCTTGTGATTACATCTGCTCCAGACAAACATTGATGGATACTTCATCTTTAAGCAAAAGGGGATTGTCTGTCTGTGGGCTTATATAACAGATTATCTCTTCCACGCTGAATATTAAGTGTGTGCATATGTGGCTGCGTGTGGGGTTGGGGTTTTTTTTTTTTGCCTTCCCCCCCCCCCTTTCTTCTGGTTTTGTTTCTCATTAGGGAAAAAATGGAGTTTCATAAACAACTCCATATGCAAGGAAATATTTAGGAAGTGATTCCCCAGTCGCTTGCAGTGAATTGCTCCTTACATCAGTCTTCCTGCTGAGCTCAACTCCTTCCCCGGGCTCAGCTTTCCTAAACCCGACTCCAATCAGGAGTTTTCTTTTGAAACCCCGACAAAACTTTTTTTTTTTTTCCCTTCGGTCGGGTTAATTGATTTTTCCAAAAGAAACTTCCCTTCCCCTGTCGGCCGTGCATTGTTTCTGTGCAGATCTCCGTGGATAATCGCCGAGGGCAATAACCATTCCAAAAGGAAAACTCATTTTGCGTGGGGAAACGGGACACCTCGGAGGACAGAACCTTTGTGCTGCCTTTGATTTCTTGTTATGGCTGAGAACGCTCCACAGAAGCACTTCTTGTTTTCCTGCCTGGTGCTTGGAACAAACCTAAACCCCCCAACACTTCCAGGGGAGGGAGGCAGCTTTTTGTCTGTGTGTTTCTAGAATATTCTAGGAACACAATATCCTTTCTGTCGTGCTCGTTAGCAAGGAGTGCCAGGTAATAATTTGCTAAATACTTCAGAAGCCGAGTAATTTGTGAGCTGTGCTCTCAGCACTCCCAAGGCAGGAGGGAATTCTGTCTTCCCTGGCTGGATTTTGGGGGGCTCCTGGCTGAGTTGGGGGGCTGCTGGCTGAGTTTTGGGGGTCTGTGCAAGCTTTACCCCATTGCTGGTGGTAATTCCCTAATGAGGGGCTGTGTCCTGCCCCTCCACACCCTCGCCCTGAATTTAATTCTCATCAGCCAGGCTCTCCACTTTGCTAATAACGATAGCAGCCACAAATAGCTTTCAACATGCCATTGACAGCCCGCTTGGAGAGAGCACTTGAAATAGTGGTAGACAGCTGAAAGTACCCATAATTGTGCGCCCGAGTGAGAACCACACTGCTCAAGGGCCTGATTTTCATGTGCTTAAAGAGACAATATCCTGGTTTCAACAAATGCTGCTGGTGCTTCACGCCTCGTGTGATTTGCTGGGTTTGGGGGGGTCCGCAGGGGGCTGCGGGGTGCACAGCCTTGGGGTTGGAGGGAGCTGTGCTTTGAGAGGAGCAGAGGGTTGGGGCGTGCTCCTGCAGGGCTCGAGGTGCCCTGCGGCTGTGTGGATGAATTAGTTCTTTCCCAGGGAATGGGGACATTCCCGAGGCTGCCGGAGCTCCAGGAGCGTTTGGACAACGCTCTGGGGCACAGGGTGGGGTTGGTGGGGTGTCTGAGCAGGGTTAACCCTGGTCTTCCACCTCTGGAGAGTCCTGGATTTGAGGGCGTAGGCAGGGATGTTTTGGGGTGTTTTGCAGTGTTCTGTGTTCAGCACCTTCTCCCCATCCTTGTCCTGCTGCATAAACCCAGCAGCAAGGGCAGGACTTGGGGCTGGTGTGGCCCCAAAATCTCTTCTGGGGCTCCACCTGCCATGGCCTGGTGGGATTCCCTTCCCCATGGGCAATATTTTCCGTCTGGGGGAGAGGTTGAGGGGTGTGTGATGTGTGCAGGGTGTTTTGGGGTTGTTTTGTGCAGGGTGTTTTGGGGTATTCTCTGCCAGTCTGGGGTTGCTGTTTGGGGTCTTTTGGGGGTGCTCTGTGCAGGGTTTTTTGGGGTGCTCTGTGCAGGGTTTTTGGGATGCTGAACAATGCCTGTGGGGCTGGTTCCTGCAGGCAGCTCCGTCCCCCAGGAGGGATCTGTGTCCTGTCCTGTGCCACGGGGGGATGCTGGGACCTGCCTGGGGGCTCACCCTGTGCCTGGGACATCCCTGCAGCTCCCGTTTGCCTCCTGGACATCCAAAGCTGAGACAACTTGGCACAAGGAGCATCCCCAGTGCCCAGAGCCCTGTCTGGGTGTCCCCCCCCAGCCTGGAGCTCTGCACTCCCAGCTTTTGGGTCAGTTCTAAGGCTGCTCTGCCTTTCCCATGGCTGACACCCGGGGTTTATTTTTAAATCCCCTCTGCCCCGTGCAGGTGTGGGGCTGGGAGTGCAGGGAGCTGCAGGGCCCAGCCAGCCCCAGCTCTTTCACACCGAGCTACCCTCTGTGAGCCCAGCTCCTGGCACTGCCAGCAGCAGCTCCCCGTGTCCCCAAGTGCTTCGGATGCTGCTGGTGGCCCTGGCCATTTTAAGAGCAGGTGACAGGAGCCTCAGCCGGGGCCAAGTGGTGCCGGTGTTGATTTATCACGGTGCAGATGTTCTCTCTGGTTTCGCTGAAACCCCACGCCGGGAGCTCTGGGCAGGGAGCAGGGCACATTCCTGGCAGGGCCACAGAGCGAGGGGGATTAGCTGGGATTTCAGCTTCTCCCGACTCCTTGCCCTTTGTGACAGCCAGGAGTGTCCCAGGGTGTTTGGGAGCCTCTGCCCGTGCCCCCCGCGGGTCTTTGATCCGCCCTGGTCCAGGGAGGATGCAGGGCAGCGGAAGGGGATGGGAGCTGGGATTGCCATGGCAACCCGTGCTGGGGATGGATGGAGCCTTTCCTTGGCAGGAGCAGCTCGAGGAGGGGCTCAAGGGCTCTGGGCAAGGTGATGGATGAGCCCTGTGAAGGGGAAGGTGTTGGGCATGGAGCCCTCCCCTGATCCTGGCATTCCAGAGAATCCCGTTCCCTCCTGGTTGAAGTTTTAATGGGGACAACTGGAGTTTAATGTGCCAGGGAATGGGAAAGGGGAAAGTGAGCAAATATTTAAAGACTGTTGAATCTCGTGTTCGCAGGAAACCTCACGGTTGTAAACATAATATTTTGGACATCCAATATCTCTGCTCGCTGGATCCCATGTGGGAATTCTCTTTCTGTGTGGAACGGGGAGTTTGGCTTCACATCTCACTTGGAAGCTTTGCATTTAAAGGTGGAATCATCACGTGTGCCGCTGGTCAGGGCTGTCAGGGGCAAACCCAGCTCCTTCCCTTCCTGCTCCATGGAATCAGCCTGGATGCTGTGTTTTCCAGGGTGCAGCCCAGGGGAGCTGGCTGCTGCTGTCCCCTGGAAGGTGGCTCAGATTTGTTCTGGAGCCCGGGAGCTGCCAGGGCAGAGCTGCCAGGGCAGAGCTCCTGGAGCAGCGACCGCGCTCGCTGCATCCCAATCCAACAGCCAGAGCTGGAGGAATAAATCTTTAATGGAGCTGCAGCTAAATGTAATCTGATCCAAGTGCCATGCCAAAAAGCCTGGAAGGAGCTGTTCCCGAGGCAGGGCACGGCGGTGGCACCACGGGGGCTGGTGGCACTCGTGGTGCCAGCCCGGCTGCTCGGCCACGGCGCCAGGGCTGGGCTTGGGTTTGGCACTTGGAGCTTCCAGCCTGGCTGCTGTGGGAGTGCTGGGTGCTGAAAACCCTGTGCTGGGGACAGAGGTCACCACAGCAAAGTGTCCCTGCAGTGGTGGGACACAGGGAGAGGCTTCCCACTGCAGGGACAGGCAGGATACTGGGAAGGGATCCTTCCCTGGAGGGGGGCTGGGACACTGATGCCTGTCACTGCCCCATTCCTGGAAGTGTCCAAAGCCAGGTTGGAGCAACCTGGGCTCCTAGAAGGTGCAGGGATTGGGACTGGATGAGCTTTGAAGTCCCTTCTGACCAGGATTCCGTGATCCCCGGCTGCCTGCTGGATCCGTGCAGCCTCACGCTCAGGGCCACGCTGATCCGGTGACTTGGTGGCTGTGGCCAGGGTACCTGAGTCCAAGCCGTGGTCACTTCCAGCCGTCCCTGCCTTGGCACGGTGTGCCAGCACGTTCCCTGCCTCTGGAATTGCTAAGAAAAGCATCAGGTGTAACCCAATCACCAGGAGTGCTTCGGGAGGAGAGGATGGCCAGGAGTGTTCCTGTGCCTTTGCAGCCATGGGGAGCTCTGTGTGTACCCCTCGAGCAGGACCCGGAGCTCTGGGCTCTGTGGGGCTGTTTCCTCCATGGGGGTGACTCCAGGCTGGGGCAGATCAGGATTTTCCCAGTATCTCCTTGCTTATGGTGCCACTGGGAATGTTGATGGTGCTTGTTGGGTTGCTGCTCTAGCAGGAGCAGCGTGTCCCACCATCCCCAGCAAGGGTTGGCTGTCCTTTGGGATTTCTCCCTCATATTAGGATATTTGGGGGATCTTCCTTGGGGTGCTTGGGAGCAGGTGGAGCTGAGGGCTCCTGTGCTTTGGCTGGGCTTAAAACCCAGAGGTGCTGCAGGAGCTGAGCTGTGGGATCAGCAGGGTGAGCCGCGGGGTGGATTTGGGGTGGTGTGGGGAGCACAGGGGTGGCTGTCCCGGGAAGGAGGCTCTCCTTGGCAGCAGGAGGCCGGAGCTCTCCCGGTTAATCACTCGTGCTGTTGATAAGGAGCTCTGGGGCTGGCGGGAGGAATTTCGGGGCGTTTGATTCCGTGCCAGCGCTCGGCTCCGGCCATTGTTGTGGCGCTGGATCCTCGCGGCCGCTCGGCGTGTTTGCCTTGGAGCTGGAGCTGTTTTCACAGCTGCCTCGGGCAGGAGCAGCCAGAGTTAACCCCTGGGAGCCAGGACACGGCCATCCTGCCAGGAGCATCCCTGGAGAGGGACATGGCCATCCCTGGAGAGGGACACGGCCATCCCTGGAGAGGGACACAGCTGTCCCACCAGGAGCATCCCTGGGCTGTGACATGCCCATCCCACCAGGAGCATCCCTGGGGTGAGACATGCCCATCCCACCAGGAGCATCCCTGGGGTGAGACACTGCCATCCCACCAGGAGCATCCCTGGGCTGTGACATGCCCATCCCACCAGGAGCATCCCTGGGGGGTGAGACACTGCCATCCCACCAGGAGCATCCCTGGGCTGGGACATGCCCATCCCACCAGGAGCATCCCTGGGGTGGGACATGGCCATCCCACCAGGAGCATCTCTGGAGAGGGACATGGCCATCCCACCAGGAGCATCCCTGGAAGCTCCCACAGAGCTAATTCCTAAGGAAAGCATCAGGTGTAACCCAGTCTCCAGGAGTGTTTCTGGAGGAGAGGATGGCCGGGAATGTTCCTGTGCCTTTGCAGCCCATGGGGACCCCTTGGAGCAGGACCCCGAGCTCTGGGCTCTGTTCCCTCCATGGGGGTGACTCCAGGCTGGGGCAGGTCAGGATTTTCCCAGTGTCCCCATTCCCTGGTGCCACTGGGAATGTTGATGGTGCTTGTTTGTGTAGCAGGAGCAGCGTGTCCCACCATCCCCAGCAAGGGCTGGGTGTCCTTTGGGGTTTCTCCTCCAGTAGAGCTCCCCAGGGAGGCGTTGGTGCATCCAGAGCAGGATGTGAGGCTGGCACAGAGAATCCCACCGTGGGCAGGGGGCAGAGCAGCCCCCCAGCCCTGGTGGGTGGCCTTGCCAAGGTGTGCTTTGGAGAAACCAAACCCCCAGTGCAGCCTCGGGAGCGGGAGGAGGTGGAGGGGCCCCCAGCCTGGCTTTCCTGGGATGCAGCAGCTCTCCAGGATGAGCCTGGCTGTTGTCTTGGAGCCAGGGCAGGCCAGGCTGTGTGACACTGCCAGGCTGCTCCAGGACACTCACCCGTGCTGGGAACGGGAGGGAAGGGTCCCAGGGAAGGGCTGGAGAGCTTGAGGGGACTCCCAGAGTCCCTGCCTCCATGGGCAGGGAGGGGAGTTTGGGAAGGGAGAGGGGACAGAGAGGGGATTTTGGGAAGGGTCAGGGAGGGGATCTATGGCAGGGGACAGAGAGGGGGTTTTGGGAAGGGTCAGAGGGGAGATCTGTGGCAGGGGTCAGGAAGGGGATTTTGGGAATGGGCAGGGAGAGGGGACAGAGAGGGGATTTTGGGAAGGGACAGGGAGGGGATCTGTGGCAGGGGTCAGGGAGGGCACCCAGCGCTGCTGCCAGGAAGCCTCGTGCCACCCGTGGGAGGCTGCTGCTGGGTGCTGACTGCTGCTTTTCCTTCTTCCCTTTTTTCAGACAGAAATTGCTAAAAGACTGAACACGATTTTAGCCCAGATCATGCCTTTTCTGTCACAAGAGGTAAGGACTTTTCCACACCCTCTTTGAGGACGTGTAACTTCTCCCAGGGGCTTCCCCTCCCTCGCAGGCAGTGCTGAGTCCCTGGCTGGGGGCTGGGTGGGAGAAATGGGATTTAAATCCTGCCTGAGCACTGGAGAACCCTTGGGATGGGCAGAGCTGGGCCCTGCAGGGGCTCTGCTCAGCGTGGGGGGCTGCACTGAGCCCAGAAGGCTGCGAGGGCCTTCCCCTTTCCCTGAGGAGCTGGGAGGTGCCCTGGGCTGCTGCGCCCAAAATAGGGTAGAAAAAAAAGGGAAAAATGGGAAAAATAGGGCCCAAAAGCAGGGAAACCATGGCTGGGGGTTCTGCACCAGGCTGTGGCTGACCCAGGCCCTGTGTCCCCGCAGCACCAACAGCAGGTGGCCCAGGCTGTTGAACGTGCCAAGCAAGTGACAATGACGGAGTTGAATGCTATCATCGGGGTACGTGGACTTCCCAATCTGCCTCTCACCGTGTGTATTCCCCTTTTATTCCTATCATTTACCATATCCAGAGGCAACCCTGCGCTCAGGAGGGCACACGGGGCGGCTCCCGGTCCCCAGCCATCCCAAAACCCCAAAACTGCCCCAGTCCCACAGCTCCTGGCTGTCCCCAAACCCCAAAACTGCCCCAGTCCCACAGCTCCTGGCTGTCCCAAAACCCCAAAACTGCCCCAGTCCCACAGCTCCTGGCTGTCCCAAACCCCAAAACTGCCCCAAATTGCCCCAATCTGGCCCCCAGCAGGACAGGGCTGGGAGCTGCTGCCTCCCTGGCAGCTCCAGGATTGCAGTGGGATGCTCCTGGGGAGATTTGGGATGGGAGCCTCCCCAGCCCCTGAGGCCAGGCTTGTCTCTGCCGGGCTGTTGCTGTGGAATGTGCTGTGCCCTCTGAGGAGTTGTTGTTCCATGCATTGACCCTTTCCCACACAGATTGAGGGGTTCTGATTGAAAATGAACAATTTTAATCGTTTCTGTAATTGCTGTCACTGCCTTGGTCCTGCAGCAAACCCCGGGACATCGGAATTCCCACCTGGGCAGGTGGCTCCAGAGCTCCTCTGGCTTTGTTTCCCAGAAAATACTAATTTATAATGATTTTTATTTTTAATAACTATTTACACTTCATAGGCTTCAAGGGTCTTTATAATTTTCTGTGTCTAACTTGCTCTTCCATCCATTTTCCTGCATTTTATGGGTGTCACCCACTGTGGAATCGTGCTCTGGGCTCCTGCAGTTTTTGGGAGTGAGGAAGCAGCTGGATTACTCGTGGTGGGGCTGGGATGTGCCCCAGGAATGGGAGCTGAGTTTTGGGGTGACCCTGCACTCCTCACCCATTTGGGGTGGGCTGGGCATGGAGCAGGAGCCGCTGAAGGGGCAGATATTGGAATTCAGGTGGATGGGGAGGCCCGTGACCCCCATTCCCTGGATAATTGCTTGCCTGGGTCACAGCCAGGCCCTGCTGTCATTAAGAGCCAGCCCAGCCCTTTAATTGGCTCCCTGAGGAGCTCCCAGCAGGAATCTCCCAGCAGGAGTCGGGGACACCTCCCCTGGGCTGGCCCGGCAGGGAGGGACACGCTGCTGCCCCGTGATCCCACAGCCTTCCATGGCTGCTGCAGGGACGTGGGGCTGCTTTGGGTGCTGGCTCCTGCTCCTGCACCTGCTCCAGAGCAGAAAATGCACAGGAATTTGGGATTTTGTCTTTTTCCCTCCCCTCTGTGCAGGAAGTGGTTGGTTACTGTGGGGTGGTGCTGGCAGGAGGTGCTGGTGACCCCATGGCTTAGAGATGGTTCCAGGCTCATCCCAGAGCGTGGGGCTGCTTGGGCTGGAGGATTTGTGCTCCTGCACCTGCTCTGCTGCCCACAGAGACACAAAATCCAAAGGATTTGGGTTTTTCTTCCTCCCCTCTGTGCATGGAGTGGTTTGTTAGTGTAGGGCTGTTGCTGGTAGGAGGGGATGGTGATTCCATGGTTTTTAGGGATGGTGATCCCATGGCCTCACGTGGGTTTTAGGGGTGGTGATCCCAGGGCCTCCCATGGTTTTTAGGGATGGTGATTCCATGGTTTTTAGGGATGGTGATCCCAGGGCCTTCCATGGTTTTAGGGATGGTGATTCCATGGTTTTTAGGGATGGTGAATCCATGGTTTTTAGGGATGGTGATCCTAGGGCCTCCCATGGTTTTTAGGGATGGTGGTCCCAGGGCCTCCCATGGTTTTTAGGGATGGTGATTCCATGGTTTTTAGGGATGGTGATCCCAGGGCCTCCCGTGGTTTTTAGGGATGGTGGTCCCAGGGCCTCCCATGGTTTTTAGGGATGGTTCCAGGCTCCTCCTGGAGCACGGGGCTGGTTTGGGTGGCAGCTCCAGCCCCTGAGCCCCCAAGCACAGAGGATTTGGTGTTTTGCCCTGCCCTCAGCAGGTTGTTTTTCTAACATTGCCCACATGGACACGTCCCTGGGTTGGTTTGCTCAGCACTGGGGTGTCCTGGTGTCCCTGGGCTCCAGCCCTTGGTGGCCCCACTGTCCCCAGCCTGCCCCAACGCCCCAGTGCAGCTCCTGCAGCACCCAAACCCCCCCAAACGATGCCAAGCTCTTTTTTTGCCCCTTTTGAGGTCAAGAACTGTTAATTTTATGCATCTGGGCCATTGTCTGCAGCTCCTGCGCTCGGGGCTGGGCTGAAATGGAGCCTTGATTTGGTTGTAGCCCTGGAAATGATTGCCCTGGAAATGATTAAACTCCTCACTAAATTTAACGCCGGCGCTGAACTGAAGTGCTGAACCATTAAATCAGCAACAAAGGCATGGAGCGTGATGGACATAATCCAATTAAAGCCACTCCACCAGCAGACACTCCTTGCCAGCCTTCCTCCCAAATTTGGAGCCTCTTTCTGTGTCCCCAGGTCTGTGTGGCACCGCTGAGGGACCGGGGAGCTCCGTGGGTGTGCAGGGATCCTTGTGTGGGGTTGTTATCCCTCCCCAGCCTCCTGGGACACTGGGGACATCGCTCCCTGCCAGGCTCCTGCCAGCACAGGAGGAGCCCACGCTGGTGCTGGAATTCCCTTGGAGCCCCAGTGCAGCATCCTGAGATGTGGATGGGCTCAGTCACTCCACGGTCCTGGAATGCTGCTTGTCCTGTGTGTGTGTCACTGAGCAGGACCTCGCTCCCTGGGCAGGGGGATTTGGGCTTCCCAAAGTTCCCAAAGAGCCTCCCCGTGCCTGGAATGCTGCAGCAGGCCCTCAGCCTGTGGAGCTGCTGGAGCACAGCATCTCCAGGGCTGGGATGAGGGATGGGATGGGCCTTCCAGCAGGGGACACTCTGTGCCACCGAGTGCCAGGGGGGGTTTGTGCCCCTCCTCGGAGCCTCCAGGACCTCGTTCCCAAGGATGGTGCCCTGGGAAGCTGGGAATGCTGCAGCACCACCCCGGGATGAGCCCCAGGCCCCTTGGCTCACCCTGCTCTCCTGCCTCGGGAAGGACCTGCCTGGGACACGGATGGAGCTCCAGCCCTGCCCTGGCTCCTCCAGGACATCCCACACGGATTCTGCTCTCCCCTGCCAGAAGGGAGACACCAAGCCCAGCTGGAGGTGTTGCTGTGGCCACCAGGGATGCCGTGTGCTGACCTTGTTCCACGTCCTGAGAGGGGCTGTGCTGTGTCACCCAGCCCCTGCATGGATTTATCTGTTGGCAGCCTGAAATCCTGTTAAATCCCAGTTTTTTCTGGTCTGCTGGAGCAGCTCCAGGTGCTGATTGTTGTCCCCGTGGTGCTGCTGCCCTGCTCGTGGTGGGGCTGTGCTGTCCCCTGGGCTGTGCAGGGCTGGGATTGCCATCCACGCCCTGGGAGTTGGAGTGCTGCTGTTCCACGTCCCCTCTGTGGGTGGGAAGCTGCTGGGATGAGTTACAGCGTGCAGATCTTTCTGGAAGCTGGAGATTGCTGAGGACAAACCACTGGATCTTGGTGTATTCCTGGGATGGAATATGGAAATACCAATGCAGAGCTCCCAGGAGAGCAATGTGGGAATGCTTGGAGGTGCTGGGAAACCACCCAGGGCTGTTCTCTGCTACAATGGCCAGCCCTGCCTCTGGAAATCCTGTGAAATGGGGGTTGGGAAGAGCCCCACGGATCTGTTCCCTTTGTTCTGGTGCCAGAGGATTGATGCTGCCACTGAGGAGCTGCTGAGGGACCAACCTGGTGCCCCTCACCCCCAGCTCTGCTCCGTGCTTTGGGGCCACTCTGGAATGTCCATCCTGAGGATGCTTCCCATCCTGCTGGCAGAGCCAGCTCCTGCTTTTGGAGGGCTCAGGGATTTATGGATGTCCTGCAGCAGAGGCCTGTGGCCTTCTCCGTGTGGCTCCTGCTGCAGCTGGGATGTCAGAGCTGCTTCCATGGATCTCCTGTGCCTGGGGCTGTGGCTTCTGCCCCCAGCTCCCACCTGGAATCTTCTTCTGGAATGGGATTTCCCTCTCCATCCCTCAGGGATGAGAAAGCAGCTTTGGAAGGGCCTGCTCCATCCTGCTGTGTCCATGGAGTGGGACAGGACATCACCTTCTGCTTCCCAAAATGGATTCTTCCATCAGGAATGGGCCAGGGCTGCTCCCCCAAAACCTGGACTTGGTGTGGGGAAACTTCCCATGGAATCATGGAATGCTTTGGGTTGGAAGGACCTTAAATCCACCCAGTGCCACCCCAGCCATGGCAGGGACACTGCCACTGTCCCAGGCTGCTCCAGCCTGGCCTTGGGCACTGCCAGGGATCCAGGGGCACCTGGGAGCACCTTCTGCAGCTCTGGCCAAGAGGGGCTGGAAATGTCCGTGGTGGAACTGCTGGGAACATGAGTGGAGCCCTCCATCCCTGGGGGCACTGTTTTGGGGAGCCCTCCATCCCTGGGGGCACTGTTTTGGGGAGCCCTCCATCCCCAGGAGTGTTTTTGGTGTGTTCCTGGGGGTGTCCATTGGGCTGGCCCTTGTGCCAGCAGGTCCTGCTGTCCATCTCTGCCCCTTGGAGTGCCCTGGGACAAATCCTGATCCAGGCTGCATGTGGGGGCCTGGAGTGGGCTGGGGGGCTGTGCTGCAGCTCAGGTGTCCCCTCGTTCCGGGTGTCCCCAGCCCGTGATTCCCGTTGTGCTCAGATGCCCAGCTGTGGTTTCCCTGCTGGGGGGCTGTGGGTGCAGGCAGGAGGGTCCCAGGCAGCAGCAGCAGCTCCAAGACCCTCCTGGCTGCACAGGGCAGGCCCGGGGGCTCACGGAAGTGGCTCCTGGGATTTCAGCTGGTTTTCTTCCAAGGTTGTTTGAAGCAGGGAGTGTGTCTGGTTTTCCCTTCTCTCCCCAGAGCTGCAGTTCAGCTTTTTCCAGCTCAGCTGGAGCGGGCAGTGACTCTCCATGGCTGGAGGAGTGCTGGGATGGGATGGGATGGGATTCAATCCCAAAAAACCCTGGGAGCAGCTGGGGCCCTGTGCTATCCTGGCTGGGCTGCAGCTCCAGGGAACGTGGGGGGTTATGTCCAGCCCCATGGTGGGAATGGAGAATCCCTGCAGCATTTATCCAGTGTCTAAAGGGGCTGGGAGCAGCAGGGTCTGATGGGACCAGGCCATTGTGTGGATTTTTCCTCCCCCCATGCAGCACCTGGGAGCTGCTCCTGAGCAGATGAGCAGAGCTGCGCTGTGCTGAGCTGGCTGGGAGCCTCCTGGGTGCTGCAGCTTTCTCCCTCTGCCGGGTTTAGCTGCTGCCCTCCAGCCACGGAATCTCTGCCTCCTGGGTGGGATTCCTGAGGGTTTTTTTTCCCTTTTACTGCTGGAAAACCCGAACTAACCATATCCTCAGGGATGAGCGCTCTGGGAATGCAGGATTGTCCTGGGGAGCAGCCGTGTGTGTGCTGTGCCAGGGGCTGTGGGGACACCCCTGGGGACACCCCTGGGGACATCCTGGGCACATCCCTGGGGATATCCCGGGCCCCTCTGTCCTGCTAACGGGGCTTCTCCTTGCAGGCATGCAGCGGGGTCTCTCCCGGCGCCGCCGGGCCGTCCCTGCCCGGGCGGTCCCCTGCTGTCCCCGTCCCTGTCCCCCGCGGCTCACTGGCGCTCTCGTTGCAGCAGCAGCAGCTCCAGGCCCAGCACCTGTCGCACGCTGCCCACGGCCCCCCGGTGCAGCTGCCTCCGCACCCCTCGGGGCTGCAGCCCCCCGGCATCCCGCCCGTCAGCGGCAGCAGCTCGGGGCTGCTGGCCCTCGGCGCCCTGGGCAGCCAGGCTCACCTGGCCGTCAAGGACGAGAAGAACCACCACGACCTGGACCACAGAGGTGAGAGGGGCGGCTGCCCCCATGGCCACGGTCCCAGGCTGCCTTGGGGGAAGGGAGGGGAAGGTTAAAAATGACACCCGGGGGGCTCCGGGCTGGATTTGGGCACTTGCAGGGATCCAGCTCTGGGCACCCTGTGCCGCCTTCACAGGGAACATTGGATTTGGGCACTTGCAGGGATCCAGCTGCTCTGGGCACCCTGTGCCGCCTTCACAGGGAACAATTCCTTCCCAATATCCCACCCAAATTCCACTTTTCCACATGAAGCCATTCCCTGTCTCCTGTCCCTTGTCCCAGTCCCTCTCCAGCTCTCCTGGAGCCTCTTTAGGGGGCTCTGAGCTCTCCCTGGAGCCTTCGCTTCTCCAGGGGAACATTCCCAGCCTGGCTCCAGTCCCTGGAGCAGCTCTGTGGCCTCCTCAGGAGTTGCTCCAGGTCCCTCAGATGTTGGGGGAGCTCCCTGGTCCTGTCATGGCTCATTTCCCACCCCTCAGGTCGGCTGCATCCAGGTCATGGGATTACCCTTTTAGGGATGCAGAATTCCCTAAAATGATGCGCAGCCTTTGGTGGAGCCTGGCTGCACTTCCTGTGCTGGGCCTTAATGGGAAAGCAGCCTTCACCCTCCCCTTCCTCCTCCTCTCCATCACCACCAGGGCCTTCCCGTGGTCAGGGACCCAGCTCTGTGCAGCAGCAGCTTGGTGCTTTTCCCCATTATTTGGGATCTGACCATTTGTTAGCAGATGGAAGGGTCTGTGGATCCAGCTGCAAACCAGCAGTGTTCAGGATTGTCCTGGCAGGTCCCCCAGCACAGGAGGATCTGGGATATTTCCCCTCTCCTGCTAGCAGGGCAGGTTCCCACAGCCTCCCTGAGCTGTTGGGCTCTGCTGGGGGATTTGGGGTGGGAAAAAAAGCAGTGAGACAAAACTATTGGTAGCCATGCTCCTGTTCCATTCCTTTTTCTGCATGGATTGCCAGAGATTCCAGGGAAAATGCACAATGTGGGTGCAGAGGAAGGGCTGAGCCAGCTCCTGGTGTGGAGCTGAGCCCCCAGGGCTGTGGGGTGACTCCAGGGACAGACCTGGGGCTGCTGCCATTCCCTTTGCATCCAGGGCATGTCCAGATCAATCACATGGACAAAGGGGCAGGAATTGGATGGGAGAGAGAGATGGATGGAGGGAGATTCTAAAGCTGGAGAGAGCCCAGACAGGGCTGGAGTTTAAGGGTTTGACTTAAGAGCACGAGGAGGTTCTGGGTTTATTTTTTGGTTTAAGACTTATCCTAACTTGCTTTATTTTCCTGTCTCTGTTTTGGTCGTGCCCTCCCCTCTGCCCTGGCACCTCCTGAAGAGCGAGACTCAAGTGCAGTAAGTCCCATTCCTTCCTTTTGCTCCCACTTTCTGGTGGCTGCACGGCTGAGTTTGATTTATCCCTTAAAAACCCACCTGGTGCCTGAGAGCTGCAGGGCTGCCTTTGGCACAGGTCTTATTGAGCAATAAACCAGGCAATAAAATCCCTCATCCTGCCTGGAAGAGCTGTGCTGGGATGAGCAGAGTCACCTTCTCCGTGGTGGTGCTTTGGAAATGGGATTGAAATCCCTGTGCTTTGCTTGTGGCAGCACATCAGGAAATTCCATTTCCATCATTTTGGCTGAGTGAGCGTGGTCAGAGCCAGAGCCCCTGGGTGCTCGGGGAGGCTGGTTCCTTCCTGATCACCCTCCCATTTCCTGGGCCACCTTATCTGGGATGGGCTTGGTTATTTCTCTGTGTTATGCAGGGCTTGGAAGCTCGAGCAGCTCCTGACCGGGGAAATCCCTGGATTTTGGAGACACCTCAGAGGCTGCCCTTGGGATGGATTCCCTGGGAGCTGGGATGGGAGGATGTGGAGGGTGGCAGGAGCCAGGTGGGGCTCATGGAATGGGGCTGGGGCAGCACCTCCCACCCTGTTCAGGGAAGATGGGACATCAGGAGGAATTCCTCCATGGACAGGGCGGTGAACCATCGGAAGGGGCAGCGCAGGGAGGCCCTGCAGCTGCCCAAGCAGGGCCTGGCCGTGTCCCCGAGCTCCCCGTGCTGGTGACAGGCTGGGGCTGGGTCCAGGTCGGGCTGGGTGATGCCGGAGCTCGTTCCCCAGCCCAGCATTCCGTGTGAAAAGCTGCCAGGACAAAGCGCGGCTGAGCTGCGGCTTGGCAGCGATTTCCTGCCAGCCCCGAGCCCACAAACGGCCCTTTGGAGAGCAGGGAAGGGAAGTGCTCTGAGGGGGGAGCAGAGGGGAATTGGGCATCATTAACCCGCTCCTGGGGCGGGCAGGGGGCCGTCGGAGCCGGGCAGCTTCCCAATCCATAAACTGCGAGCCAGGGTATTCCCCGTGGAGGTTTAATGTGTGCGATAATCAGCGTTAGTCATTCATATTTTCCCCAGCCTTTGCCTGTGCAATAAAAAATATTTAGTTCCTTGGCGGCGGGCCAGGAGCGGGGCTGAATGGATCGATGCCTCTAAATGCCTGACATGATTCTCTGGGAGCTGCGAGGGTTTTCAGCATGACTGCCTGGGAAGAAAGAGCTCCGTGTTATCCAAAGCTGCTTAGTGGGGACCGAGGAGAAACATGAACTGCTTTGGTTCTCCCTTTCAGCCGGGGAAGAAAGGCGGGCACGGCTCGGGAACGCGGGGCTGGCAGGCTGGGGGAGAGAGCGGGGCTGGAGCCTGCTGATCCCAGGGACTGGGGAGAGGGAATGTGCAGGGAGAGAGCAGGGATGGATCCTGCTGCTCCCAGGGACTGAGGGGGAGAATGTGCAGGGAGAGAACAGGGATGGATCCTGCTGCTCCCAGGGACTGAACGGGGGAATGTGCAGGGAGAGAACTGGGATAGATCCTGCTGCTCCTAGGCACTGAGGGGAGGGAGCAGGGATGGATCCTGCTGCTCCCAGGGACTGAGGGGGGATTGTGCAGGGAGAGAATGGGAATGGATCCTGCTGCTCCCAGGGACTGGGGAGGGAATGCAGGATCAGGGCCAGGCGTCCTCCTCTTGTGCTGCCGTGTTTGCCTCCAGCCTTCCCTGGGAATGCCAGCATCTCCTGGGTTTTGCTGCTTGGAGCAAGGGCAGAATTCCCCCGTGCCATGGCACTCCTGGTCGCGTGGGTTTTCCAGGACGTTTTGTGGATGTCCTTTGGTACTGGGGCTGGGATGCAGCTGTTGCTTTGCTCCTCCTGGCTGAGGCTCCCAGCTCTGCCAGAGGGAGAGCTCCTGGGCTCTGGAGCTTTCCTGGGAATGCCAGCATGTCCTGGGCTTTGCTGCCTGAGACAAGGACAGAATTCCCAATGAGCAGAGCTGTGCAATTCCAGAGCTGTGCCCTGCTGTTCCTGGCCATGTGGCTTTTCCCAGATGATTTTATAAACAACCTCCTCCTGCTTTTTCCTGCTATTGCAGCAAAGCAGCTCAGGTGTCCATGGGCATCCTCACGGCATTCCCAGTGCTCCCAGCGAGGCTGATGTTGATCTGTCCCCTGGATCCTGTGGCATGGGGGGGACGAGGGGGGGGTCTCATCCCTGTCCCCTGGGACCTGCTGCTCGTGGAGCCCCGTTTCCTTCTGCCCCACCTTCAAGGCTTCTGCCATCCCCACAGAATAATTCCGTGTCCCCCTCGGAGAGCCTGCGGGCCAGCGAGAAGCACCGGAGCTCCACGGACTACAGCATCGACTCCAAGAAGAGGAAAGCGGAGGAGAAGGACAGCATGAGCCGATATGTGAGTGGCAGTGACAGCCCTGGAGGCCACGGGGACCCCTGGGGCAGCACCTGGGGGCAGAAAGCGGGGTTGGGGTGGTGCTTTGTAGGTTTGATGTGGGTCAGAGAACCTTGAGATCGTCCAGGCTGGAAAAGGCCTTGGAGGCCATGGGGTCCAAGCATCCCCCAGCACTGCCAAGGCCACCATAATCTGTGTCCCCAAGTGCCACATGCACTCCCCTGGCTGGCTGCACTCCTGCCCTGGCAGCCCCTTCCAACACCCGACCACCTTTTCCACGAAAAAAATAACCCCATATCTCCATCCCGGGTGTCCTGCTGCTGTTGGGGTGGTTTGGCTCCTCGGGGGGCTGATCCCCCCAGTTTTTGGAGCTCTCTGCGGGGTGTGACACATTTTGTGTTCCAGGACAGCGATGGTGACAAGAGCGATGACCTGGTGGTCGATGTCTCCAACGAGGTGAGCTCTGCCTTTGGGATGTGGGAGCCGATTCCTCGGGGGCCTCCCAACACCAGCAGGAGGGAGCCCCTCCTTCCCACTGTGGGAATTGCAAGGCTTTTCCCCCCTGGCAGGACCCCGCCACCCCCCGGGTGAGCCCGGCCCACTCCCCCCCGGAGAACGGCCTGGACAAAGCCCGCGGGCTGAAGAAGGGGGACGCTCCCAACAGCCCGGCCTCCGTGGCCTCCTCCAGCAGCACTCCCTCCTCCAAGACCAAGGACCTGGGCCACGTACGTCCCCCTGGGGCTCCCTGGGGCTGTGGCTCCCAGCAGCTGGAGCTCACCGCTCCTTCTCAATCCCTTCTTCCCACAGAATGACAAATCCTCCACGCCCGGCCTCAAGTCCAACACTCCGACGCCCAGGAACGACGCTCCCACCCCGGGCACCAGCAGCACCCCGGGGCTGCGGCCCATGCCCGGCAAGCCCAGCGGCATGGACCCCCTGGGTGGGTACAGGTGTCACCACGGTGTCACCGTTGTCCCCAGCGCAGCTTCGGCTTGGCCCTGACAACGGGGAACAGCAGCTCTGGGGGGGATTGCGTTTGTGGGGGATGAGGTTTATGGGGGACCTCATCTGGGTCTGGACGGCTGATGGGGTGAGGAGGGAGGGCTGATTGTGGAGTGAGCGGGGTTGGGATGAGGGGTCAGCCTCAAGCTGTGCCAGAGGAAGTTCAGGTTGGGCATCAAGAGGAATTTCTTTGTGAAAAGGGTGCCCAGGGAGAGGTGGTGGAGAGCCCCATCCCAGGGACGTGGCACTCAGTGCTCCGGGCTGGGAGGAAGGTGGGGTTGGACTCCGTGGTGTTGGGTTTTTCTGTGGCCGTGCTCTGCTCCGCTCCCTGCCCGTGTGTCCCCCCACTCCCTGCCCGTGTCCCAGCCGTGTCCCCAGCCGTGCCCGTGTCCCGAGCTCCCTGCCTGTGTGTCCCCCAGCTCCCTGCCCATGTCCCAGCCGTGTCCATGTCCCACTCCCTGCCCGTGTCCCCTCCCTGCCCGTGTCCTTGCCCATGTCCCCAGCTCCCTGTCCGTGTCCCAGCCATGTCCCCTCCCTGCCCGTGCCCCCTGCCTGACCGTGCCCCCTCCCGCAGCCTCGGCCCTGCGGACGCCCATCTCCATCGCGGGCTCCTACGCGGCGCCCTTTGCCATGATGGGGCACCACGAGATGAACGGGTCTCTGACGAGCCCCGGCGCCTACGCGGGGCTGCACAACCTCCCCCCGCAGATGAGCGCAGCCGCTGCCGCCGCCGCCGCCTACGGCCGGTCACCAATGGTGAGCTTTGGAGCTGTACGTAGCACTTTTAGCTCCTTTCTGCCGGGGGGAGGGCTGGGGGGGCTCCTGGGGCTGGGAGGCAGGCTGGGGCTCCTTCGCAAAGCCAGCTGTGCTTGGCTTGAAGGGGTGGGGATGGAGGTGCTTCGTGGTGGGGTGACGTGCATGTGCCACTGGGTTGGGGTTTTTCCTTCCTGGTCCTTGGCCCCTTACTTGTTCCTTGGCCCCTTATCCCATTCCTCAACCCCCTTCCCATTCCTCTCACTAAACTCCTGTTTTAAGGCAGAACAAGGAGTCAAACATTGCCACTAAAGCAGATATTGGGGTGTCTGCCACTAAAGGAGAGGTTGGGGTCTCTGCCACTAAAGCACGGACTGGGGTTTCTGCCCTCGGGGTGCTGTGCACAGCGTGGCTGAATCCGTCCCTTGGGGCTTGGGAACAACAGTGGGAGAGAGAGCATGTCCCCCCTGGTTCTCGCAGACCCAGAACCTTTGGCTGGTTGCCCTTCCTGCCAGGGGGAAATGCCAGTTAGCTTTGAGCAGCAGGGGAACAGCGGGAGCTGCCCAGTGTCCCCAGGGGTCATGGATGGGAAGCCGTGTGCCATTCCTGGCCTCACCGTGTCCGTGCATCTCTTGGCAGGTCGGGTTTGACCCTCACCCACCCATGCGAGCCCCGGGCCTGCCCTCCAGCCTGGCGTCCATCCCTGGAGGGAAACCGTAAGCGCCGCTTGGATTTTTGTGGGATCGGAGGGGACAAGGAGGGACACGAGGGAGGCCTTCACTGGGGGCTGGTGCTTCACTCAGCCTGGAGCTGAGCCCTCTCCCCCCGCAGGGCGTACTCGTTCCACGTGAGCGCGGACGGGCAGATGCAGCCGGTGCCGTTCCCGCACGACGCGCTGGCGGGGCCCGGCATCCCGCGGCACGCGCGGCAGATCAACACGCTGAGCCACGGCGAGGTGGTGTGCGCCGTCACCATCAGCAACCCCACCCGCCACGTCTACACCGGCGGCAAGGGCTGCGTCAAGATCTGGGACATCAGCCAGCCCGGCAGCAAGAGCCCCATCTCCCAGCTGGACTGCCTGGTGAGGCTGGCACGGCTGGAGTCCCCGTGGTGGGGCTGCTGCTGTCCCCAGGGCTTGTCCCCTGCCTGCACCCGCCTCCGATGTTGTTAATCATCTTCTCCCCGTTAACATCAGCCTCTCTACCCTACGTTGCCATTTGTGTTTCCTCTTTCCCCTGCTGCCCTCCCTTTCCTCTTCCCCCCTTAACATCCTGTTGCTCTTCTCCATTACCACCTCTTTGTCTCCTGTTACTGTCTTATTCCTCTTCCTGTTATCTGTCTTTCCCCATCAACATCCCTTTTCCTCTTCTCCCCATCAATGTCCCTTTGTGTCTTTCACCATCAACGTCCCCTTTCCCATCAACGTCCCTTTTCCCTTTTCCCCATCAACGTCCCCTTCCCCATCAACGTCCCCTTTCCCCATCAACATCCCCTTTCCCCTTCCCCATCAACGTCCCTTTTCCCCTTCCCCATCAACATCCCTTTTCCCCTTTCACCCTCAACGTCCCTGTTCCTCTTTTCCCACCCAGTTGCACTCCCTTCCTCTTGCCCCTCCACATCCCTTTTCCTCTCCCCCCCGTCCCTTCCATCACCATCTCGCGGTCCCCAGGCCGTCGCTGACGGTCCCGTGTGTCCCCAGAACAGGGATAACTACATCCGCTCCTGCAAGCTGCTGCCGGACGGGCGCACGCTGATCGTGGGGGGCGAGGCCAGCACTCTGACCATCTGGGACCTGGCGTCGCCCACGCCGCGCATCAAGGCCGAGCTGACGTCGTCGGCGCCCGCGTGCTACGCGCTGGCCATCAGCCCCGACGCCAAGGTGTGCTTCTCGTGCTGCAGCGACGGCAACATCGCCGTCTGGGACCTGCACAACCAGACCCTCGTCAGGTGAGCGCCCGCCGGCTGCTGCTGCTCGGGGAGCCTGCGCTGGGCTGGGCTGGGAAGGGCCTTAAAGGTGTTTGCATCCCATCGCCTTCATTTAGTCTTCTCTGTCTGTGTTCCTTTTCCTCTTCCCCCACAACAGCCCTTTTCCTCTTCCTTTTGTCAGCATTCCTTTTCATTTTGTCAGTGTCCTTTTTGCTCTTCTTTGTCAATGTCCCACTTCCTCTTCCTTCCATCAATGTCTCTTTTCTTCTGTCAGTATCCCTTTTCCTCTTCCTTTTGTCAGTGTCCCTCTTCCTCTTCTTTTGTCAATATTCCTTTCCTCTTCCTTCCATCAATCTCTATTTTCCTCTTTCCCCACCCCGTTGCTGTTTCTTTCCTCTTCTGCCCATCATGGTCCCTTTTCCTCTTCTCCCCATCGATGTCCCTTTTCCTCTTCTCCCCATCATGGTCTCTTCCCTCCCATCAACGTCCCTTTCCTCTTTTCCATGGGCAAAACCACCTTGCACTATCCCAGGTTGCTCCAAGCCCTGTCCATCCTGGCCTCAAACATTCCAGGGATGGGGGATGGGGAGTGCCCCATCCCCTCGGGGCTGGAGCCTGGAACACCCTCTGGTGATGCTGCACCATCTCCTGGTGCTCATCCCTAAGCCAGCCCCATCCTTGGCCAGGCTGCTGCTCCTCAGCCCGGGATGCTCCTGGATGGATTTCCAGGGATATTTGGTGTGGACGAGGCACACAAACCTCATCTCAGCGCCTCGAACGCGGCTCCGTGCTGTTCCTAGCGCTCCCCTTGCAGACCTCCATGGTTTTTTCTGCTCCCCAGGCAGTTCCAAGGGCACACGGACGGGGCCAGCTGCATAGACATCTCCCACGACGGTACGAAGCTGTGGACGGGGGGCCTGGACAACACGGTGCGCTCCTGGGACCTGCGGGAAGGGCGGCAGCTGCAGCAGCACGACTTCACCTCCCAGGTAGGGCCAGGGAGCAGGGGGCAGCCTCAGGGATCCATCCCCACGGAAAGCAGGGGTTCCTGCTCGCCCCTGGCTCCCTGGAGGGGCTTTTCCTGCTGGGAAAACCCCCTGGGAGCTCCGAGCATGGCTGTTCCCGCTGGTTTTGGGATGCCCCAGGAATGCTGGAGCCATGGGGCTCCCTGGATCTTGTGTCAGCTCTCCTTTTCCATCCTTGCAGGATGAGGCTGCTGTTGAGGAAGCAGTTCTTTTCATGGGCTGCCTGTGGATGTAACTGGGATCTCTGGATGTCCTGGGGTGGGATGAGAGCAGGGGTCAGGGATCAGGATCCTGCCTCCTCCAGCAGAGCCTCCCAGAGCCCTGATCCAGAGGGGCAGAGCTGGGACCTTGTGTCCCATTGGCAAGGGACACACAGGGATGGAGCCCTCCCAACGCAGGGATCTGCCTCTCCCCACCTGCTCCATCCATCTGGGGCTGGCCAGCAGCTCCAGCAGTGCCACAGATCCCAGAACAGTTGGGTTGGGAGAGTCACCTTGATGATCCCTCATCCCACCCTTCCGTGGGGGGCCGGGAATTCCCGCTGATCTCCCCTTACCCCACTTCTACCCACAGATCTTCTCTCTGGGGTACTGCCCGACGGGCGAGTGGCTGGCGGTGGGCATGGAGAGCAGCAACGTGGAGGTGCTGCACCACACCAAGCCCGACAAGTACCAGCTGCACCTGCACGAGAGCTGCGTGCTCTCCCTCAAATTCGCCTACTGCGGTGAGCGCGGCAGGGATGGCATCCTGGAGCCCTGGGGTGGATGGCTGGGGAGGGACCTGCAGCTGGGACACCTCCCTCTGTGCCAGGCTGCTCCAAGCCCCATCCAGCCTGGCCATGGGCACTGCCAGGGGTTGGGAAAGCGGGATGTCCGTGAACTGCAGGAGGGGACGGTGCTCAGCGCAGCGAGGGGGGATGAGCAGGGATGTTTCCAGCAGGATCCATCCCATGGATGCTGCACTTGGGGTTTATTCCCATAAACCCATCCCGGCTGTAGTGAGGTTTATCCCCATAAAACCATCCTGGCTGTGGCTGTGGTTATCCCCATAAACCCATCCTGGTTTTGGCAGGGTTCATTCCCTGGGTTGTTCCCATAATCCCATCGTGGCTGTGGTGGGGGTTATTCCCATAAACCCATCCTGGTTCTGGCAGGGTTTATTCCCTGGGTTATCCCATAAACCCATCCTGGTTGTGGTGGGGGTTACTCCATAAACCCATCCTGGCTCTGGTGGCTGTTATTCCCATAAACCCATCCTGGTTTTCACAGGGTTTATTCCCATAACCCCATCCTGGTTTTCACAGGGTTTATTCCCATAAACCCATCCTGGTTTTCACAGGGTTTATTCCCATAAACCCATCCTGGTTTTCACAGGGTTTATTCCCATAAACCCATCCTGGTTTTCACAGGGTTTATTCCCATAAACCCATCCTGGTTTTCACAGGGTTTATTCCCATAAACCCATCCTGGTTTTCACAGGGTTTATTCCCATAAACCCATCCTGGTTCTGGCAGGGTTCATTCCCTGGGTTATCCCCATAAACCCATCCTGGTTCTGGCAGGGTTCATTCCTATAACCCCATCCCAGCTGTGGCTGCAAACAGCCATGGAGCACCACTGGAGGTGGGAAGCAGCGCTGGGATTGTCCCAGAAGAGCAGGGCTGGGCAGGGCTCCCAGGGAACCCCCAGGTTTTCCCATTTCTCCCAAATCTCTGGGCTCAGACAGACTGTGGGGACAGGGAAGGGGTGGGGAGGTGGCACCAGCAGGGTTCAGCTGCTGATCCCAAACTCCCAACGCAGGGAAGTGGTTTGTGAGCACTGGGAAGGACAACCTGCTCAACGCCTGGAGGACGCCCTACGGAGCCAGCATCTTCCAGGTGGGAGAGCTTGGGAAGGCCCCGGGGTGGGGGCTGCTCCCAGATCCCATTCCCAATTACCCTGGAGAGAGGGGAGATCCTTTGGGGCGGCCGGGTGGGTGTCAGGTGTGGGATGTGGTGCTGCTCCCAGCATGGATGCTGCTGGGAGATCCTGGAATCCCACCCTGCTGGGAGATCCTGGAATCCTACCCTGCTGGGTTCCCTCTCTCCCTCCCACCCTGCTGGGTTCCCTCTCTCCCTCCCACCCTGCTGGGTTCCCTCTCTCCCTCCCCCCATAAACCCATCCTGGTTTTCACAGGGTTTATTCCCATAAACCCATCCTGGTTTTCACAGGGTTTATTCCCATAAACCCATCCTGGTTCTGGCAGGGTTCATTCCTATAACCCCATCCCAGCTGTGGCTGCAAACAGCCATGGAGCACCACTGGAGGTGGGAGGCAGCACTGGGATTGTCCCAGAAGAGCAGGGCTGGGCAGGGCTCCCAGGGAACCCCCAGGTTTTCCCATTTCTCCCAAATCTCTGGGCTCAGACAGACTGTGGGGACAGGGAAGGGGTGGGGAGGTGGCACCAGCAGGGTTCAGCTGCTGATCCCAAACTCCCAACGCAGGGAAGTGGTTTGTGAGCACTGGGAAGGACAACCTGCTCAACGCCTGGAGGACGCCCTACGGAGCCAGCATCTTCCAGGTGGGAGAGCTTGGGAAGGCCCCGGGGTGGGGGCTGCTCCCAGATCCCATTCCCAATTACCCTGGAGAGAGGGGAGATCCTTTGGGGCGGCCGGGTGGGTGTCAGGTGTGGGATGTGGTGCTGCTCCCAGCATGGATGCTGCTGGGAGATCCTGGAATCCCACCCTGCTGGGAGATCCTGGAATCCCACCCTGCTGGGAGATCCTGGAATCCTACCCTGCTGGGTTCCCTCTCTCCCTCCCACCCTGCTGGGTTCCCTCTCTCCCTCCCACCCTGCTGGGTTCTCCCTCTTTCCCTGCTGGGTTCTCTGTCTCTTTCCCACCCTGCTGGGTTCTCTCTCTTTCCCTGCTGGGTTCTCTGTCTCTTTCCCACCCTGCTGGGTTCCCTCTCTCTCTCCCACCCTGCTGGGTTCCCTCTCTCTCTCTCTCTCTTTCCCACCCCTCTGGTTTCTGTCTCTCCCACCCTGACGTGTTCTCTCCCCTCCCGCTGTCCCCAGTCCAAGGAATCCTCGTCCGTGCTGAGCTGTGACATCTCTGCGGATGACAAGTACATCGTCACGGGCTCTGGGGACAAGAAGGCCACGGTCTACGAGGTCATCTACTGAGCCTGGGATTTGCAGCACCGGGAATGCTCCGGGAATGCCGAGGGGAGGCCCCGGGCCCGGCCCCGCCGCACTCGGATTTATTTGGAGATCTGCAACTCTGGCACACATGGAAGCCCTAAACGGATTTTTATTTGGTTTTAAGGTTTTGGGGTTCCTTTTGATTTTTTTTTTGTTTTGTTTTCTGGTTCTTTCCGTCTGGCTTTGGTGGCACTATAAAGGACTCCTTTTTTTATTGGGACTTTTTTTTTGTGCATCCCGCATAAGACTTGTGAAAAATGTAAATACTGGACTAGGAAATAGCGTGGGAAGGGGGGACCCTCCCAGTACACTTAGTTGTGTATTTTTGTCTGCTGTAATTGTATTCCACTGATGGTTTTGGTGGTGGCAATTTTATTCTGGGGGTTTTTTTGGTTGGTTTTTTTTTTTTTGGTTTTTGTTTTTTGGGGGTTTTTTCCCCCTTTTCCTTCCCCCCTCCGGAAGTGTCCGTGGGGACTTTGCCATCCAGGCTGAGCAGAGATGTCCACTGGTGAAAAGTTGTTCCTCCTGTCGTGCGTCGTGTGTTAGTGATGGTGGGGAATCGCTCGGATCCTCAGCTACTGACGGGACATCAACACAATCACCTTGGGGTTTGTTTTTTATAGATGGATTTATGGATTTATCCTTATTTTTTTTTCCGTGCTTGGATGTTTGAAGAAAAGGGGAAGCCCACGCAAGCCCTTCTTGGTCTTCGGACAGAAGCAAATGAGGAGTGATTTCAAAGAAAGCTTAGAAAATTCAGCTCAGGGAGCCACGAAAGATAATAGCAAACTTATGTGTTTTGTATTCAAATGAAAGTAAAGAATTAGAATTGATAACCTTGAAAAAAAAAAGACAAAAAAAAAATACAGTTTTTTTTAAAAGCGAAAAGTTTACTAACAAGTAGGGTTTGTGTGTGGTGGGGGGCTGTTTGTGGTCCTTGTGGGCTTTATGGTCTTGTGTCTTCTGGTTTTATGGAGCAACTCCCTCCCCCCACAGGCCTTTTGTACTAAAGGGTTCCAAAAAGGACAAAAAAAAAAGACAAAAAAAAAAAAAACAAACGAAGACCTAACGGGAAAATAAAAGTATTTGTGTAGCAGAAGTGCTCACCTGTATCGTGGCACACGGCAGAGGATTTTTATACCGCATTTTTATGGATTATTTTTGGCGAGTTGGATCTGGTCCAAAAGGAGAAAAAAAAATGTTTAGGGTTGAGGGGAGAACGGTTTGGAGAGGGGGGAGAGGAGGATGGAGAGGCGGGACCTGGAATTGCAGCCCTGCCAGGAGCCCCCATCCCGTCCCGTCCCAGAGGGGCTGGGAGGGAGGAGAGCTCTCCTGGCCAAGCCTGGTGTTCCCAGCGAAATGAGGGTTCAGAGCTGAGCTGGGGGAATGTTCCAGGCCGGGGGGGCTCCGTGGGAGGGTGGGATCAGCCTGGAGCACTGATGATCCAAGGAAGGAAAAGTTCTCTAAAGCTGCTTTTGGGGAAAGGCGTTTTAGGGTGGTTTGGCTCAGATTAACGACTGGCCCTGGGGCCGGCAGAGCCTTGGAGGGCTCCAGGGCTGTCCTGGGAGTGTTTTGGGGTCGGTTTTGGGATCTGTGGGGGCAGCTCTGCCCCTTTGTGCCCCCTGACCCGGGCACAGCATTCCCAGCTCCGTGGGCTCCGGAGCGCGCTCTGCTCGGATGGGGCTGGGCTGGGCAGGGCCGGGGGCTCTGCGCTGTCCCTAGGGCCCCCCTGGCACTGGGGACACCCCCAGCTCGTGTCCCCCAGGCTCCCGGGGGGCTGCAGCTCCGCTGCTTGGTTTTTCTCCCCGGAATGCAGGAATTGCAGGAATTGCGTGTTCCGGAGCCGCCCGGAGCCAGGCTCTCAACTTCACACCAAAGTATGTAGCAGAATCTGTACAGCTGTTAATAACTACCACTGGTTTTTGTAAAAAAGGGCCAAAAAGAGAAAAAAAAAGAATAAAAAGTCAATGTACTGAAGCTCGACCGCAAGCAAAGTGTTTCTAAACCCTCGGATCCCTGGAATTTCACGGAGTGGGGGGAAAGGCAGGACAGGGGAGGGTTGGGGGGCACAGGCCAGCCCTGACAGGGACCCCCGAGTTTGGGGGTGGTGCTGGAGGTGGGATGGAGCCCAGGATCGGTGGGAGAAATCCCCAGCCCTCAGCATCTCCCCCGTCCCGTGGGATGTGCTGCCGGGGGCTGGGCTCCTCCCGGCGCATCCCAAACCCCATCCCTCCCTTCCCGCACCCTGGCACCTCTGCTCCTGCCGGGATTTGGGGTGGGAGCAGGGAATCCTGCCCCGGCAATCCCAGTGCCCGGGATTCCCAGCGGCATTCCCGAGCTGATGGAGACAAAGCCCTGCCCTGAGCTGGGCCAGCCGGAGCGTCCCGTGATGGATCGGAGGTGACAGGACCTGCTGGGAGGGAGGGATGGAGGGCAGGGGAGTGCTCGGGAGCGCATTTCCATCCCCTTGGAGGCTGGATGCGCCAGGGGCTGACACGGCGACCATCAAAAGGTGGGAAGGGCAAGGAATCCTTTGTTGGGAGATGGGGAGAGCCCGGGCAGGGGAGGGGAAGGGCCCCGAGTGGCTCCGGCTGCGCTTCCAGCCCTGCCCAGCAAAGGGAAGGGGCTCCCCTCCCTCCCTCCCCAGCTGCCCTCGGCACTCCGTGGGGTGCACTCGGCTTTTCCCAGGAGCTGCTGGGCTCTCCCAGTCCCGTTTGTGCTGTCAGCTCCCAGATTTTATAATTCGGTTATTCCCACGCCCCCTGCCACTCTGGAATTTTCAGTTATAAATCCATGGGGGGTTTTTAAAGGTGCTCTGAGGTCAGGCTTGGCCCACGCTGGCAGGAAAGGCAGAGCTGGAAATGGCCAGGAGCCCACGAGGGAATGGATTCCCCGGGATCCTGAGCACGTGAAGGTGGCACCTGGCATTTTTGGGTGGCATTGCCGTCTTGCTGGTTGTGGTTTCCTTGTGTGAGCGTGGAATCCCTGCACAGAAGGGCTCCCGAGGAGGCGGCCAGGGGTTTGGTCCTGGAGGATCAAAACTGCTTTGCCAGGCTGGGGCTGTGTCCCTGCAGGGCAGCACTGGGAAAGGGCCAGGGGCAGCAGGGCCGTGCTGGGCCAGGCCGTGTCCCATGCCATGTTCTGTGTCCCATGCCGTGTTCTGTGTCCCATGCCGTGTTCTGTGTCCCAACCTGTGCCATGTTCTGTGTCTCATGCCACATTCCGTGTCCTGTGTCATGTTCTGTGTCCCAGCCCACGTTCTGTGTCCTGTGCCATGTTCTGTGTCCCATCCCGTGCCATGTTCTGTGTCCCATGCCACATTCCGTGTCCTGTGTCATGTTCTGTGTCCCAGCCCACGTTCTGTGTCCTGTGCCATGTTCTGTGTCCCATACCATGTTTTGTGTTCCATGTCCTACGCCATGTTCTGTGTCCCAGGCCATGTTCTGTGTCCCGTGCCACGTTCCGTGTCCTGTGTCATGTTGTGTGTCCTATGCCCTGCTGTGTCCCCCATGCCATGTTCTGTGCTCCATTCCAAGCTCTGTGTCCTGTGCCATGTCCCATGCCACGTTCCAAGTCTTGTGCCATATTTTGTGTCCCATTCCACGTTCTGTGCCCTGTGCCATTCCATGTTCTGTGTCCCATCCCATGTTCTGTGCCCCATGCCACACTCCATGTCCCGTGCCACGTTTTGTGTCTTGTGCCATGTTCTGTGTCCCATCCCACCCCGGGATCCTGAGCACGTGAAGGTGGCACCTGGCATTTTTGGGTGGCATTGCCGTCTTGCTGGTTGTGGTTTCCTTGTGTGAGCGTGGAATCCCTGCACAGAAGGGCTCCCGAGGAGGCGGCCAGGGGTTTGGTCCTGGAGGATCAAAACTGCTTTGCCAGGCTGGGGCTGTGTCCCTGCAGGGCAGCACTGGGAAAGGGCCAGGGGCAGCAGGGCCGTGCTGGGCCAGGCCGTGCCCCATGCCATGTTTTGTGTCCCATGCCGTGTTTTGTGTCCCATGCCATGTTTTGTGTCCCATGCCGTGTTTTGTGCCCCATGCCGTGTCCTGTGTCATGTTCTGTGTCCCAGCCCACGTTCTGTGTCCTGTGCCATGTTCTGTGTCCCATGCCATGTTTTGTGTTCCATGTCCTATGCCATGTTCTGTGTCCCAGGCCATGTTCTGTGTCCCGTGCCACGTTCCATGTCCTGTGTCATGTTGTGTGTCCTATGCCCTGCTGTGTCCCCCATGCCATGTTCTGTGCTCCATTCCAAGCTCTGTGTCCTGTGCCATGTCCCATGCCACGTTCCAAGTCTTGTGCCATATTTTGTGTCCCATTCCACGTTCTGTGCCCTGTGCCATTCCATGTTCTGTGTCCCATCCCATGTTCTGTGCCCCATGCCACACTCCATGTCCCGTGCCACGTTTTGTGTCTTGTGCCATGTTCTGTGTCCCATCCCACGTTCTGTGTCCCGTGCCACGCTGAGCCGTGCCCACCCCAGCAACAAAGCAGAGCACACATCCAGCTCTGCCCAGGCACACCCACAGCATCTGCCCACCGGGGAACCCGGGATAACGGGATCTCCCTTCCCTTCCCTTCCCTCCCCACCCATTCGCATCCCCTTCCCATCCTTTTCCATCCCTCCCCATCCCTTCCCAGCCCTTTCCCCTCCCTCCCAGCCCTGCTGCCCTGGTGCCACCCCCGGCTTGGGGACAGATGGCGGCGGCGCTCGGGGCCACCCTCAGCTGTCGCTGCCGCTGCCGAGCGAGGGTTGCGCTGGCACCGCTCCCTTCGGCGGCCCTGCCTCTGCCGCTTTAATTACAGTAATTGAGTTATAATGAGCGATGGGGCGGGGGCGGCCCTGGGATGCTCGTCCTGCTCCTCTTCCCGGGGTCCCGCTGCAGCACGGCAGGAGCGGTCCTGAGCTTCACCCACCCCGGGAAAATAAAAATAAAAAATAATAAAAATAAAAATATCAGCAAGCAAGGAAGGAAAACAGCCCAGCAGGAAAAATCCCAGCGCTGCTGGGAAAATCCGTCCTGGGGCTGGCACAGCGTGCCCGTGGCTGGGGACACTGGGGACAGGACACGGGGAATGGCTTCCCGCCCCGGAGGGAAGGGAGGGATGGGATTTTGGGAAGGGATCGTCCCCTGGGAGGGCTGGGATGGAATTCCCAGAACAGCTGGGAGCTTCCCCTGGATCCCTGGCAGTGCCCAAGGCCCGGCTGGAGCAGCCTGCGTCAGTGGGAGGTGTCCCAGGATGTCCTTCCGTGTCCCTTCCAACCCAAAGCATTCCAGGGTTCCGTCATCCCCCCACCAAAAACCCCCTTTTCCCTGGATTCCTGTCCCCGGCACTGCCACTCCTGTCCCCAGGGCTGTCCCCTGACATTCCAGGCTCTTGTCCCCCTGCTGAGCCCGGAGCATCCCTGCTCTCTGCCTGGCATTGCATCCCGGATTTGGGAACGCTGGGACTGGGGGCAGCTCTGGGAGAGCCCCAAGTGCAGCCCCGTCCTCACCCCCCGGGGGAATTTGGGATTTTTGGCTTTTCTGGGCAACAATAAAAACTTTCATTGGAGCAGAAGCTGGGCTGGCCAAAAGGAGCCTCGTTAATTCCAGGGGATTGTTTCATCTCAGCTCAACAGGAATAATGAATCTTTTTTTTTTTACTATTATTATTTTTTTTTTTTACAAGATGAGTTGGTGAACAGCCAACTTCCTCCGGGGGAATTCCTGGGGAGTGTTGATCCCAGCTGGAATTTACCTTGGGGAGGGGGAAAAAAATATTTTTAAAAATGAGGAAAAAAAATAAAAAGAGAAGAAAAAAAAAAGCTTAGGTTTTAAAGGCTCAAATGCTGCTATTCATAACAACGTGTGATTGAGCTCAGCCTTTTCCTGACAGCTCCCAGATGGAGCCAGGGCTTTTCCACAACACCCTCACACAACACTTCCCTCCGGAGCCAGCTCCAGCCCCGGACAAAAACCGGGAGCACACAGAGGGTTTGTGATCCCCGGAAAAGGAGGGAGCCCCCGGGGCTGCAGGGACCCCCTGGGATGGGAAACGCAGCACACAGAGGGTTTGTGATCCCTGAGAAAGCCACGGAGCCCCCGGGGCTGCAGGGACCCCCTGGGATGGGAAACGCAGCCCAGGGCTGGGGGT